GACTGGGCTCCATCCGCGTGTTCATCCCTCTTAGGAACATGATAAGGGAGATGACTGGACTCCATCCGCGTGTTCATCCCTCTTAGGAACATGGTAAGGGAGAGGACTGGACTCCATCCGCGTGTTCATCCCTCTTAGGAACAGAGATGACTGGGCTCCATCCGCGTGTTCATTCCTCTTAGGAACATGGTAAGGGAGAGGACTGGGCTCCATCCGCGTGTTCATCCCTCTTAGGAACATGGTAACAGAGATGACTGGACTCCATCCGCGTGTTCATTCCTCTTAGGAACATGATAAGGGAGATGACTGGACTCCATCTGCGTGTTCATTCCTCTTAGGAACATGATAAGGGAGAGGACTGGGCTCCATCTGCGTGTTCAGCAGTCTTAGGAACATGGTAACAGAGATGACTCGACAACTTAACTCAGAGGTGCTTGCTGTGCCATTAGCAATCAAAGTCCTTTTATTTCTTGAAATCCATCTTCTTCTGAAATCCATGAAGTAGTATCAGGCTAGGGTCACTAGCTTGCAGCCAACTGGGATAAATTCTACCCCCGGAATAGCTCCTGACAATAACACAGTCACCGTGTCCTTCCATCGCTGCTTCTGTTATTTATCATGGACTACAAAGAGGACGAGAATGGAGAGAACTGCAGGAAGAACATGGAGGACATGACGTCTGGAGACAGCAGCTAGGACAGGTGGAGCAGGGACAGACGTCACTCCAGGGCTGAGTGAAGAGTTCGCTCCAATTCTGAAGTAAAGCCTTCAGCCTAGACCTAAGCTTGACAGCAACGTCAAATTCCACAAAATGTTTTCTCTTTCCCATTAATTCCTCTTCACCGAGGAAAACAACTGTGTATCAATCCAACGTTTAGACACACAGAGAGTCAGGTCAGGGACTAGGGAAACAACCCCAGTCTAAGAAGAGCAAGCAAGTCTACGGATGGTTTTCTGTTATACTTGTATTTTGAAAATTACTCATAGACACAACCGTCAGCTTAGCCTACAACCTAGAAAGCCAGATTCATGGGCGCTGTGGGTGCTGAAGGACGCTTCCCAAAGAAGTCTGTCCTCTTAGGACTATGCCACAGTAGACATAACTACAGTAGACACAATCATCTGACCACCACAGAGAAAATTGTTACAAACTGGATAATAGGAAAGAACAGGGAGGAGCCCGATGACGACCTTATTACTTTGGAAATTATGCAAAAGAATAAATTCCCTTTCTTGGTCAAACAGACCTGAGCTGTATTTCTGATACTTGCAACTGAAGACATTCTGATATGTGCTAATTGCCTATTAACTGGAATCATGCTATAACACTTATATGTTTGGATTTTTAGACTCTATCAGGAACTCTGTTCTAATGTTACTCTTTTGATGGCTGTGAATTAGGAATTCTGGAAGGCCCAGTACCTTGTTGCTTTTAGCACCACAGAAGGAAGGGACAGGTCCAGGGCTCTGTTTGCGTCTTCCAAGGTCATCCCTTGTGTGCTGACTCCGTTCACATAGTGGATGACATCCAACAGCTGCAGACCTCCCTCGGCAGCTGCAGCCGACCGCGGGTTGATGTCGCTGATGTACACCACTTCATGCGCACTGCCGTGACCTCCAGACAGGGAAAATCCTTCAGAGGACAGAAAACCATTGTTTCTCAGTTACAGGAGTCGGACTTTAAATGATGCCAAGGCCTGCGCTCTTCTTACCTAACTCCTCTCCCTGGCACGTTATTGTAATGTCAGGCAGCAGATGGGGAAACACTGGCATCCTGGGTAACTCTAGAATCCGCCCAAGGACTAATCTGACTGTCTTGGGTGCAGCTCGTAGCAGATTCACGGCATCGGTGTGGGTCATGTTTGTGACGTCTGTATCATTAACCTACAAACAACACAGAGGCAAACCAGTGCTGATTTTCAGAACGGGAAATCTGATGAAAACCTGGATTAGCCAGTAAGAGATGTAAGGTGACATAGTCTCTATTTTATCAGAATCCTCTTCCCTGCAGAAATTAAAGGGACAAAGATCAAGCCATTATAAACAACATAAAGTCACTAACAAATGAATGCACACCTTACTGTTTTGTTAACATAGGAATCTTATTCTCTAGAATTTATGAAACTTGCTGTCTCATGGACTTGAGAGACCCTGAAGAGATTAAAAAGACTTGCAGTTGAAGCAATTCCCAAACAGCTATGCATAAAGGCTTCCATGGAGAATGATCTTCCTATCTCCCTGCCTCCACATCCTAAGGGCTAGGATTACAGGTTTGTGCCACCGAGCTGGGTTTAGGTAGTGCTGGGGCTTGAACTCAGGGCTTCATGCAAGCTACACATGCACGCTACCAACTGGGCTACATTCCTTGTGTCTACCCCCCCCCCCTTTTTTGGAGACAGGGTCTCATGTTAACCTCATTATATAGTCAAGAGTGATCTTGAATTATTTCCTGGTCCTAATGCTTTTCCTTCCCAAGTGCTGGGAATACAGGCGTGTGGCACTCTGCCTTGTGGAAGCCTCTCACGTTTAAAGCGGTGGGCAATGAAAACAGAACAGAGGAACTATCACATTAACTCTACTTCCTTCCTTCTCCAGTGCGGATTTGCTTTCGGTCACTGATATGGTCTGTATGTGGCTCAGATTTGGTCCCAAAAGAATTCATGTTAGCTAGGGTACTGGTCTTCAGTGGTGGGACCTGTTGGGTGAAGTCTGGTCAGAGGGTCAGAGGGTCAGAGGGTCAGAGGGTGTGCCTGTAGAAAGCAGTGAGACCCCAGACACTCAGGCATCCTTTTGAGATGTGGTCTCTTTTCTCACACAGGTAACTGGCCCCCAAAAGCTCATGGGGAGGGTTACTATTAGGAGGTGTGGCCTTGTTGGAGAAAGCAGCATGGTGGGGTCGGGCTTTGAGGCCTCCTTTGCTGAAGCTATGCCTAGTCCAGTTCACATCCTGTTGCTTTCAGATCAGAATGTAGAATTCTCAGCTCCATTTCCACCACCATTTCTGCCTGCATGCCACCATGTCACCTACATGGCGATAATGGACTGAATTTTTAAACTGGAGAAGTTTTCCTTTCTAAGAATTGCACAACTCTGGTCATGGTGGTGTCTCTTCCCAGCAATAGAAACCCTAAGTAAGGCAGGTCTGATGCCTTCACTGGGGCTGAGAGGCTGGTGCCATGTCCTTAAAGTTCCCACAGTAGTAACAGAAACTGGATTAGGACAGCCATATTTGTACAGATATGCCCATTTACGCTAAATGTCTCATTTAAAACATATTTTATTTTATGCATGAGAGTTTGACTTGCATCTATGTCTGTACCACTTCCATGCCTGATGCCTGCAGAGGCCACAAGAGGGCACTGAGGTTCCTGAAACTGGAATTACAGGAAGTTATAAACCAACATGTTGGTGCCGGGAATCAAACCCAGGTCTTCTGGAAGAGCACCCTGTGCTCCTACCCCACCGAGTGGTCCCTCCACCCTCAATGTCTCACCTTTATAAGACGGTCTCCAGGCTTCAGCCTGCCATCACCCTTGGCTGGATCCTGTATGACATCATGGACATAACAACCTATACTCTGGCTGCCTTTGGTTACTGTAAAACCCAGACTTCCTTTTTCTGATTTAATCAGGGTGATGGGAAGCTCGACTTCCTAGAGAAAGAGCAGATTGAGTTAAGGGGTCTACTTTGTCCTACAGACAAACACACATGAATACTGCTGTCCTTGGTAAGAGAGGAGAAACCCAAACCTTAAGTTTACTTAACTAGGCCACGAGAAGTCTTCTCAATTCTAGACAGAATGTTCCTCTTTCCAAGCACGCACTATTTTTTAAGTATGAAGCTATGTGTTTCTCTCAAGACTCTTTCCCTCCCTCCTTCCTATTCTCCATCTTTTATTTTTTTTTCTATCTCGAAGAGCTAGGATTGAATCCAGAGCCTTACACATGCCAGGCAAGGCTTTCCCCCATTGAGCTGCCACTCAGCCCTGCCTTTGTTCTTGCATGTACACGATACACAGGGAGACAAAGCGAAAGTACTAGTAATCAAGACTAGGTTTTAGAGGGGACGGTTTCAAACAACCAAGACAGAAGGCAGGAGGCACAAAAGCAAGCTGTTGTTTGCTGTTGTTTTTGTAGAAATCTGAAGTATCTGGATGATTGTGTGCCACAGCTGCTTTTAATTAAGATGCACAGCAAACGCAAAGACTTTAGCTGGGAGAGGAGGACGCTTACATGGCCAGTGACAGACTTTATTACTAAGAATGAAACTGAAATATTGATGTACACTCACCCATCCTCCCTGTGACACACAGACAGACGAACAGATACACACACACACACACATACACACATACCCTACCAATACAACTGTATGAAAATGAAAATTATGCAAAGAATATTTTGATTTAAAATCTTTATGGTTTGGGGATGGTGAGATTATAGGTGCCTTTCCTCTTCTTTTTACTTATTTTATAATGTTTTTACATAAGCATCTATTTCTGGACTACTAAACAGTGGGAAAAGTCTGACTTTAAATTCATGTGAAAGAATTATCGTTCTTGGAAATTTTTCCTAAGCCTGATTTGCAGGCTTAGAAACTCATGTTTTAAGTGGGGGGTGGGCAGTAAGAACTGGGGAAAGGGACAGGGAGGTGAGGCTGAAGAGGGTTAACTAACACTGAGAAATGTTGAAAGAGCCGTACGGAAATCTACAGTTTTACAAGGTTCATATGTACATGCTATGATTTTCATAAGAAAGTTTAGTTGGAATTTCTGAGGATAATATTTCAAATAAAAAGCGCAGTGTCAAGTGTGAGGTACTTCCCCACAAGCTGTCTGAAGGTCACAGACACCCCCAAACAATGTAAGCTATGGCCATGGCTCTTGGTTATTCATCAGAAACTGATGGTAAGATCAGCCATTGAAGACACCACACACCTTAGTCCCCGGACATGGAAATGTCAAGCTGGTACCGACATGGAAGCTTCCTAACGGATGGCTAGCTTTTCTGGAAGGTGCTGTGCCGGCTCCAGGGTGGAAAGTCACCAATGGACTTACTAGCAGGGAATGTGTAAGTTTCATAACTATTATTGGTGACTAGCAAGGCAAGATAAGCCATGGTACAACAGTGGTACAAACTGGGTAACCAAATGCTCCCTGACTGGATTTAATGCGAGATACACACTGTGGGATTCAAAAGAAAATAGCCCCCAAAGGGAGTGGCACTATAAGGAGGTGTGGCCTTGTTGGAGGAAGTGTGTCACCGTGGGGGTGGGCTTTGAGGTCTCCTTTGCTCAAGGTTCCCTCAGTGTGACAGTCAGTCAACTTCCTGTTGCTCCAGCACCACATCTGCCTGCATGCCGCCATGTTCTCTGCCATGATGACAATGGACTGAACCTCTGAACTGTAAGCCAGCCCCCTGAATTAAATGTTTTCCTTGTAAGAGTTGCCCAGATTGTCGTGTCTTTTCACAGCAATAGAAACCCTAAGGAAGACACACACCCAGTAGTGCAAATCATGACAAGAACACCTGGTTGGAGTGTTTACGGCTCCAGGTATCAATACTACTATTATTCTGGTGAACAGACAGTCTTCCCTCAAAATCTGTCAACTGTATACCTAAATATCTGGGCATCCCACACCTTATCAAGAAGTTTCTTTGTACTGTGAAAAACAGTTAATGCAGATACAACTGGCCAAAGCTCAGGGACAAAGCGTATGGAGTGTTCAGACATAAATGGGGCACCTATATTGTATCCCCTTCCCTAGGTTCAGGGACACTGTTTTCTGGACGTGACAGGCCCATGGCACTGGTGAACTCACGGCAGCCGTGGTTGCTTGCCCACTACCTGCACGAGACTAAGCCAGTCAGCACACAGCAGCACAGAAGAGAGAGGGACCCGTGAGCCCCCACCCCCAGCTGAGGAGCCATTGACAAGTTGATGGGATAGGGAGAGACTGTTTTCTTTAAAACTGTGGTCACTGGTAGGTCAACTATGCTCCAGTCCATGGCCCCACATCCGGGAGTATATGGGCAGCACAAACTGGACCTGGTGGGTTATTAAAAAAAAAAAAGAAAGAAAGAGAGGAACCTGAGCTTGGATGGAGATGAGGGATGGAACTGGATCTAGGAGGAGTGCGTGGGAAAGAATGGGGGGCAGGGAATGTAATCAACACACATCTTATCCATGTATGAAATCTGAAAGTGAATCCATATCTATCTCTATCTCTCTTTATGTAAAGTTTTGAGGCTACACTACAGTGTAAACACTCCACTCATACACACAAAAATTTAAAGACAAATTATATTCAAGCACTAGACTCTCACTAACTCACAAAGCGGAGTTTAGTCAGTAAAGTGCTTGCTCCATAGCATGAGAGCCTGAGATGATTCCACAGAAAAGATGGCTGTGGAGGCAAGCACTTGTAGTCTCAGAGCTGAGGAGATCCCTGAGGCTGGCCGGCCAGACCAACCCAATCTGTGAGTTCTAGGGCAGTGAGGGAACCTATTTCAAAGGAAGTAAACAGCATTTATGAGTAACAGCACTCAAGGCTGCCCTCTGGTCTTCACACGCATGTGTCTACACACACGTGAACCCTCCCATACATGACTATGTGTGTGTGCAGGCACACATGTGTACACACACTCAGTAGGTATAAGCCAGGTATGATGGTGAATGTTTATAATTCCAGCATTAAAGAAGCAGTGACAAGCAGATCCCTGGAGCTCTCTGACCAACTAGCTTAGCCCATTGCTGAGCTCCAGACAAATGAGAGACTTGGTTTCAAAAGAAACCAAGATGGCTCCAGAGAAACAGTATCTGAGGTTGCCCTGTGGTCTCCACATGTATGAGCACACGCATATACCCACGTGAACACACATCCAGATGCATACATGCACACGTGCGCGCGCGCGCGCGCACACACACACACACACACACACACACACACACACACACACACACACAGTCAGTAGGTAATTCACAGAGATTCAGGAATAGAAGCAGTGATGAGCACTTGTCCGTAGCAGGGTCTGAATGCAGTGCTAGGAGTCTTACATGCATTATTTCATTCTGTCGTTTCCAGCCCCCTGAAGGCAGAGGACTGCAGAGCCAAAGCTGCCGGACTCTGAAGAGTTAGGGGCTTGTCTGCAGGTGTCTGCCAAGACGGCAGCAAGGCTGTGAGAAAGCCAGGGACAATATACAGCATTTTTCATCCTCCCCTAATTTCACACCAGGGAAATGTCAGAAAGGGCTGTTATTCATTTGTAAACGTAATATGAGCTACTCTACAACATAGTTTTTTCTCCAGCTAACAGAAAATGCATGCATCTATACCTTCACTGAGAAAAACGACAATTGTTTTATTGCTTGTAACAGAGAACGATGCTCACCAGCTCAGAGTCGTCAAGGTGGTTTCCCAAGTCATTTTTCCAAGTTGTCAAGTTTTCTGGTTTGTTCAGCTCAGAAGCAAGATGTGTATAGTATTTCCCAACCGAGTCAGAAGCAGCAGATTCTGACTGGGGCTGACAGGTCTGTCCAGGGCTGACATCCAGCGGTGGAGGAGGAAGAGGAGGATGGCTGCAGAGATAAAGGAAGCAGTGCTATCTGGGGGCACGTTTCCGAGCCAATACTCAGCTGGATGCTTCTGCCTGGATTTGAGTGAGAGCCTCACGAGCTTTTAGACTATGGGTTTACTCAGTGTCTACTTATGTTGGTGTTACCATTTACGGATTCTCTGTGCAAGTTCAACTTCGAATAAGCTCTCTAAGCTACAAAATGACAGAAGACAAGCTAGATATAAGTATACCTTCTATTCCTTGTTGTTATTCAAGATGGAAGCTAATGTTAGCAGGGGTCTAATTTGGATTTCAACTCAGAAAAAGAGAAATAAGAACATCTTACTCTTGTGGTCATTTGCCTGTTTACTGAAATATTTATTTTCCAAAAGCAGGGATTCAACTTAGGGTTTTATTCATGCTAAATAAGCATTCCGCTCTTATCTCCTGCTCTTTACAATTTTTTTTTTAAATTTGAGGGAGGGTCTTACAGGTTGTCTGTGCTGGCCTTTCCTCCCCTAGTCTTCCATGAACCTGGGATGATACAGCTGGTTCCTGTGGCCACTTTGGATGAAAAAACAGAAACAAAAGAAGTAGGAACAAGATGGGAGGAAGGAGGGGGAAATGTAGGCAAGTGTGGTTGGACATAAACACACAGACACCAACAAGGTGTCTGCATTTTTGTCCTGCAGGTTCCTATGCTTTCAAACACGTCCTTTCCTGTCTCCTGATCTTGTCATCTGCATGTCCTCCTTGCCTCCCCTTGTAATTCTAACCTCTCTGAGTACTGCTACCTAAATAAATCTCTTTTCTTTCTGTTTAAATTGTATTGGGGAACCACTTTCTTAATTACTAACAAATATGCTCAAGAGGGAAGTAAGGGTCACAGTGGCTGTCTGTTAGCTCTTGAGAGCTAACTAAAACTGTTAGACACATCATCAAGACCTCTAATGAGCCACTGTTTGTTAACCATGCTGAATCCACAGGCATTCCATCCGTTAAAAAATCTGTGTTTATCATGTGTAGGTGTGTGTATAGGTATGAGGTTGCCCTATTCCCTGGAGCTGGAATTCTGTGAGGCTATGAGCTGCCCGGTATGGGTGCTGGGAACTGAGCCATGTCTCCAGCCCACCAGATGTCTGCTGCCGTTGCTACACCAGCAGGTGCTGTGGACACCACACATCACTGGCAATACCTGTTCTCAAATTCCGGTTTGCTGGTTGTTTTTCGAGGGAGGTAAAACATGGCACATGTGGGTTCTTCCTGCTGACTGTGCGCCTGGGACACCATGTTATTCAGAGTCTGAGTCAAAGCTGAAGGCAAGGTGCCACGTGGTTTCTCGGCTGGAGCGCTCACGGGGTCATCCTCCCCACTCACGCTGCTGGCACTAGAGCTCGCTCTCCTGGAGAGACACTGGCGCTGCTCCTGGTTTCTGCCAGACAGCTCGTTCTCGTCCGAGCTGGTACCTGGTTCCTCTGAGAAGGGCGACGGCTGAGAAGCCTCTTTACTGTTGTTCAGAAACACTTGTGCTGGAGAGTGGAGCGGAGTCTGAGAGGGACACAACATACATTAACTTCAGAAACAGTCCACTGATGACGGAACTGCTAAGTAGCAGTTCTTTATACAAAATGTAAATATTCTGATAGTGAGCACAACTCATGCTCTGTAAAGAAGAGCACTCTAAGACGACAGCTGCTGACGCTGTGCGAGCAACCCCGCTCTACTGCCACACCCACTCATTCTGTGTACAGCTGTGCCAGTGTGGGGAGGCCACAGTGCACACGTAAGGGTCAGGACAGCTCGGGATCGGTTCTCTCTTTCCACCGAGAGAGGTTCCAGGGATTGAACTAAAGTCCTTGGGCTTGGCAGCAAGTGCCCTTTCCTGCTGAGCCATCTCACCAGCCTGATATATATTTTATTTTCAAAATTTAGTTATTTTCTTTGTGTGGGGGTGGTATGTGGGTGCTGCGTGGGTTCCAGGACAAGTGTGTGTGTGTGTGTGTGTGTGTGTGTGTGTGTGCGCATGTGTGCCCACACTACAGCATGTATCCTTGTGCGTATGTATATGTGTGTGACCATGCCATGGTATGTGTGTGTGCATGTGTGTGTCCGTGTCATGGTATTTGTATGTGTGCATGTGTGTGCCTATGCCATGGCATGTGTGTGAAGCAGAGAGGACAGTTCTGTAAAGTCAGGTCTTTCCACCTTCACATGAAATCCAGGGATCCCACTGATGACCGGCTATTAGAGCAAGTACCTTTCCTCTCTGAGCCATCTTGCCAACCCTGACTTATATTTTAAAATTAGAATTAGAATTATATTATATGTTGTATTTTGTATCCCATTTTCAAAATTTAGAATTCTATCATGAATATTTTCTAAGTTAAAAAACGTTAGTATGTTCTTTGAAGCTTTATGATTTTATATGTGCCTGAGTGCGTGCATTGTGCATGCACCACATGCACGCAGGTCCCACAGAGGCCAGAAGACAGCAAAGGGTCCTCTGAAGTGAAGTTACTGGAAGTTGTGAGCTGCCTGATGTGGGTACTAGGAGTTAAACCTGGGTCTTGGGATCTGAACTGGCATCCTCTGGACAAACAGCAAATGTTTTTAACTACTAAGCCTTCTCTCCTGCCCTGCGCCTTGGAAACACCATGAGTTTATAATAGTTCTATAGAGGCTGCCTTTACTTCAGCCTCCATTCCTGGATATACAGTTGTTTGCATGATAGAAATCTAGGCGAGCCTCTCTGCATGCATGAAAACTTCCCTGTGACTTGATTTTCCCTGCAATTGTCTAGGTTGTCGTGCATAAGATGTTTTCAAAGGCCTTTTAAAATATTTCTAAATTGGATTCTAGAAATACTTGATCAATTGATGTACTCAAGTGTGCTACATTCAACCCATCCTATCTGATGCTTCAATCAATGTAGTCTTTGTTGTGTGTGTGCGCGCGCGTGTGCACATGTGTGCACTTGTCTGGGGAGGACAGAAGACGGCATGAGATTCCCTGGCATTGGGAGTTTCAGGCAGTTGGTGGTCTGTCCCCTTTCCGGTCCCTTCAATGTGGTTCCTTCTAATGAAGTTTCAGAAACACTTTGCTGTCGTGACCTCTTTGCAGGCTCCCCCACCCCCATCCCCCCCGTACGAGGGTGAGAGCGCCTGGCTCAGTTTCCTCTTCCTCCAGACCCAGAGGACACCACTGAGAGCAGAACCCCTTTAAGCTGACAAACCAAAGGCAGATTTTCTTATAAAACGCCATCAGAACACATTTTTAGATTTTTAAATTACTCTGTGACATAGAAGAAATAAATATAGCCCTTTTTTTTCTAGATTCTGATTCTTTTTAAGGGATACAAATATTTTCATTGACTTCTTTAATGAGCTTTTCCCAGTTCCATCTGATTCCCATCTCTCACTCCCCCTCCCCTGCTCGAACCCCTTTTCTCAACAAGTCCTCTTTTTAGTTTGGTGCTATCTTTGTATGTGTGTGACCCATGGAGTTTAGCTTCTTGCCCAAGTACGAGTGGGAAGTCACTCACCGGGGCACGGGTGACTTTTCAGGGGCTGGCTACACCACTGAAGAAACAACACCCACCAAGCAACTAGTCCCTCAGGGAGGGCTGGAACCTCGTAAGTCCCTCCCATCTATGATTGACTGTTGGCTGGTCCAGTCTAGTGTACTGCTTCCCAGCCACGGCTTCCCCACTGTTTCCTGAGCTGCAGAGAGGATCTAGAGATGGCCATTCAGGGCCAAGTCCTCCACCACTGCTAGGTCTACACTGTGATAAGCCACGGCTTCTGCACTGAGGGAGGCTCATAGCAGCAAGGTTCCGAGAAGCCTGGGCAGGACACTAACTTCAGGTGCTGCACAACTCTCATTTTTACCCATGTCCAAAAGAGAAGGACTGTTCTCTGTTTAGCTCAGTGAACAGATGGACACAGCACTTTTGTAACTTACTGTCTGGTCAAGTCCGCCACATGTAGACAGCAAATCCCTGAAACTCCAGCCCTCTAGAAGTCCAGAATTGAAAGAGTGGAGCGAGAGGGGATTGCATGGCAAAGATGGAGTGTGCAGGAAGAGCCTAACACGCGTGACGGCAGCTCCTTGTTCAGTATCGAGGTGCGAAACCCAGTGCACCAGCCCACGCGGAAGCGACGGCAGCAGCTGGCAAATGCTGCTCAGCACACCACTCGACCCGTAATCTACAACAGAAGCTAGTATCCCACAGTCTTACCGAAAACGCAGTATCAATTTCTGGTAGCACACCGGGCGGGGGTCTGCAGAGGAGCAAGGACACTTCAGGAGCCGTTCCCCTGAGAGCAGATATGACTTCCTGGAGGGGGGTGAGGAAAGATGGCAAAGGAAGGCGGAGATAAACAGGCAGGAAGTAGACAGCCTACCCACTGGCCCATCCTCAGAGCACTGAAATGCTGCTCCCGTCCAACGATCACGGCTCACCTGCTGAGACAGTCCCTTCAACGGGGCTCCGTTCACTTTCAATATAACGTCTCCAACATCAATCTTTCCGCTTTCTGCAGCTGGCTGTCCAGGGAAGAGCTTTTTGACTCTCACTATGCTGGCGTTGATTTGTTCTGGTATAAGATTATCTTCTCGAGAAAAACTGAATCCTAGGCCTGAGCTGTTTTTAAATAGTTTGACCTCAAATGTATTATCTAGGGAAGAAAATTGAAAGTGAGATATTAATAAGTGTGTGTACATGTAAACAAACACGTATTTCTGCCTTCATCAGAACTTTCTGTACTGTCACACATTCTTCCTATCATTAGAAAACCTTTTTTATTTGTTGTTCTGTGTGTGATGTGTACATGTGTGTGTGATGCATGCATGTGTGTAATCTGTATGTGATGAGTGCACATATGTGGAGTGTGGGTGTGAATGCATGCATGTGTGTGATCTGGTGTGCTGTGTGCACATGTGTGGAGTGTAGGTGTGAATGCATGTACAAAAGAAAGAGGTGGATGCCAAGGGCTCTTCTCTGCCACTCTCTACTGTTGTTTTATTTCTTGAGACAGGGCCTTTCACTGACCCTGGAGCTCATGGATTGGATATGGTACTGGCGCCAGTTAATATTACAGATATATCCACCATACCCAGTTTTCACATGTGCTGCTGGTGTGGTGTGTGATCTAACAAATAAAGTTTGCCTGAAGATCAGAGTGTGGAACTAGCCAGAACTTGTTAGCCATAGAGGCCAGGCAGCGGCGGTGCACATCTTTAATCCCAGCACCGAGGCAGAGGCGGAGGCGGAGGCGGAGGCGGAGGCGGAGGCGGAGGCGGAGGCGGAGGCGGAGGCAAACAGATCACTGTGAGTTCAATGCTACTCTGGACTATGTGAAATTGATCCAGCCTAGAAGAGAAACAGAGCCAGGCAGTGGTGGCTCACACCTTTCGTTCCCGTATTTAGGATCACATGCCTTTAATCCAAGCACTAGGGAGGTGGAGACAGGAAGGGATATGGTTGGGTGGGAGAGACAGGAGCTCAGCATTCAGTCTGAGCATTCATGGAGCCAGGATCTGGCCCCCTTTGGTCTAAGGATACAGTAGAGGTAAGAAGTCTCTCTAATGGCTGCTCCGTTACTTCTCTGATCTTTTAGTGTTTACCCTGATATCTGACTCTGGGTTTTTATTATTAAGACCAATTAGAATTCACGCTACAAACTCAGAATTTCATGCTTGCTTTGTAGACAATGACAGACTGAGCAGTTTCCCCAACCCCATTCATAAAACTCGAGTTGACTGTTTGAATGAGAAGCGTTTGTAAAGCAAGGTTCTCTACGTGGAGTGATGTTTCAGTGTCATGTGTTTCAAGAGAGTGCACTAAGTTAAAGGGGAGGGGAGGACCACAAGGAATTCAGGCATGAAGAGAGACATTAAGAATACTAAAACTGTTGGGCATGGCGGTGCACGCCTTTAATCCCAGGACTTGGGAGGCAGGGGCAGGTGGACCTCTGTGACTGCGAGGCCAGCCTGGTCCACAGAGTGAGTTCTAGGACAGCCAAGATACACAGAGAAACCCTGTATTGAAAAACAAAAAATAAACAACAACAACAATAACAAAAAGAACACCAGAACAAATGCCAGCTGGGGGTGAAAAGTAGGCTGCGCCGCCATGCGTCCGCGGAGCCTGTTTTAATCCGGACACGTTATATTGACATTCCAGAAAATTCTCACACGTAAGATACATGAACAGAGTTCAAAGCAGAAGAAAATGACACAAAGAGGGAGGGACAGAGTGTGGTGGGCGGGGACAGCACCTCCAGCTCCGCACCTCCAGCTCTGTGTCAGGCAGATCTGCGCTGCCCTGTGCTTTGCACTCACTCAGGGGCTAAGTAAGAGAAAACATTCCTGACTATGACCGTCACCAATTCTAAAGTAAGAACACATGAATCGCTTAGAGGACTTCAGAGCAGAGGGCGTACCAGCCTCATGAGAACTCATACAGCATCAGCCTTCTTTTCTTGGCATATTACTAATTATTATTATGGCTATAAAGGCTGGCACATTAAGAAGAACAGCAATTGAAAAATCTAAATAGATTCCTGTGCAGGGTAACCCTAAAGAGAAACATTAAAAATTTAGAGGTAGGTGTGGTGGCATACACCTGTAACCCTAGCACTTGGGAAACAGAGGCGGGCATGGGTTATCCATGAACAAGGCCAACTTGAGTTATGGAGTGAAATCCTCTCTCAAAATCAAAACCCAAAACAAATAAACAAAACCTTAAGGTGCAGTTGGGTTTGAAGCCATTCTCAGCAATCATTAATACTTAATTTTTCCTTACTGAATTTCATTTAAAATTTGACAACCATACACTGTAGCTGCTGCATATCCTGCTCTGAGGTGAGAGGGCCGCTCTTCTGTGAATGATACATGAATCATGCCTCAACAAGCCAGGTGAACATTTCAGGATAAATTACCGCTGTGTGTAAAAATACTGACAGCTGTTACTAATTATTATTAATGACCACATTCAGGCATGATTTCATTGCCCGAAATACTTAAGTGTGCTTTGGTCAGCCTGGTGCTGCTGAGTTTGACAAGTTTGACAAGAACAGTATGAACTGGAGTAGACGGAGAACTGTAGTCACATGACCTGAACGGCGAGGCCTGACCTTCAGTCATGAAGCTGTAGTCTTTGCCTGAGTCATGAGCTGTTTTCTGCACTGTCTTTTCTGGGCGTTGGCCTGGGGCATCCTGGTCTGGAGAGACGCACTGTGGGTCTGTAGGATCATGTTCTTTGGATGTCGACGTCTGCCCCTTTTGTAGCAATAGATGGACCACCTGAGAAAACGGAACAGGGCACCATTACCTGAGAAGACCAGTAAGCTAGATTAAGTCCTAGAACTTTGCATAGTTGGAGGAATAATAAAGGAACCAATTATATACCAAAATATAGGCACAGGGACAAAAAAACATAGTAACAGAAAAAGGAACTGAAAGTCTCAAAGATTTGATTATTTTTTGCATGAGAATAAAAAAGCTATTATAAAACATGTCAAATACACACATGTTATATGCACATGTATATATAATGTATAGTAATATACGATAATTTATTATAGTATATAATAAAAATACTATAATTTATTATAGCACTATAATAGATAATTTGGGTACTAGGACAAAGTCACTGGGCAGTAATTATAAATACCATTATAAATAATCTGCTCAACTCCTGATTGAAAAGATATTTGAACACAATGAAATTAGCTTTTAGGTTGAAAAATGATTTGACACTTGTAGGTGTTTATGAAACATCTCCACACTGCTGTGGGCTAAGCTCTTTTAGCAGTTGGTTACAATGATCTCTTACCTGCCCTGTGTTTCGTAGTGTTTCCACAGCCTGCTTGTGGGTAGCTCCTTCTAGACTGACTCCATTAACGGCGAGCACACGATCACCTGTAAGTTAGGAAGTTGTTTCAAAAGAAGTGAATCATTAAAAAAAAAAATCTATAGGGTTTTTAATATCCAGTGTTTTTTCATATTTATTTGGGGAGAGATGTAGTGGCATTTCAATTGTATTTTAATAAAGCTTACCTGAAGATCTGAGAGTAAGAGTTCCACTGGTCAGTCTTACCGACCAGGCAATGGTAACACACACCTTTAATCCCTGCCCTAGAGAGGATCAGGGAACAGGAGGCACAGCTCTCACACAGTCTGATTCTGAGAGTCCTGGAGGCAGGACTGCCATTTCGGACTGTGGTCAAGGTAAGAACCAGTGGTTGGTTGTTTTGCTTTTTGGATCTTTAGACTGAACCCCAATTTCTGAGTTTTTATAAATCACGCTTCAGAGAGACTCAGACAAATGTGGAGAACTGAACATTGCTGAAGTACTCCTGATAATCGGATGAACGTGGAAAGGAACCGCTCTTACCCTCAGCGGCTGTGACAGCGCGGCCTGCCCCGCCCATGCTGGCCACATTGTGTGACAACCCCTGCCACAGCTTCCCAAGTGCAGGATTGTAGGTATGCATCACCTGCCTGGCTAGAATAATATGGATTTATAGCAGTGCCCTAAGTCAGGAAGAAAGAGAAGCGGAAGTGTAAACGCACAGACTAGAAGCGCACAGCAAGTGCTTTGAGACACAGTCACATGCCACACTTGCTGTCGGCCATCCTCCGTTTGGCACTGTGCTGCTGAGCACTGAGACGCTGAGCGGGGAAGAAGTCACTTGCTGTTGCTGAGGAACAGGCTGGAAAATGAGTCACAGATGTGGTGCCAGGGCGCTTTCTAGTATGTTTGCACATAACTCCAAGGTTCTGATCACTGTAATGTCATCCTTCTTCCTTCCTGGCTCTCTATGCAGCCCCGAATGACCTGAAATTCACTATGCAGAGGGCTAAAAACTCAAGAGATCTGCCTGCTCCTGACTCCCAAGTGCTGGGATTAAAAATGTGCAGCACCACACTTGGCCTTAATTTCTATTTATTGTAATATTTGTGCTGCAATTTCTGTATCCATATAAACAACATACCTTTGTGAATTCTGCCATCTGACTCTGCTGCTCCTTTGGGAATAACGGCTTTCACGTAAATACCACCATGGCGGACACTGGTATTCACACCTCCCTACACAGAAAAGACAAAGGAGCATGTGTTAACATGAAAATGTATGCATGCTTCAATAGGCGAGCCCTAGAAAGAGTTCCAGTCATCAGAGAAAGCTGTGACATTGTATCACTATGTTCAGTTATTCAAATACCCAGCAACACTGTTAGCTAAGTGCTCCAATAGCAAAGTCTGTTTGTTCCTTTGTTCTCTTTCTCCTCCCCAGTCCCCAACTCTTTACTTAATTCAGAAAGTGTCAATATGCTACATACTGACTAGATAAGGCTCTGTCCCTCCTCTCTAAGTCATGCATTATGAGTAAGCAGAAAGCAAAGTCCATCTATGGTAGATCAGTGTAAAAACAAAATTGCCAAGAAATGCCCAGTGTATGCTGTACTTGCGAATCTGAGAGCAAATCCCTTGACTTAAGGAAAAAGCAGCTTTTCTTTTATCTTAAAGGAGGCTGGGAGTGGTGGTGCACACCTTTAATCCCAGCACTCTGGAGACAGACACAGGTATATTTCTGTGCGTTCCAGGCCAGCCTAGTCTTCATTGTTGAGTTACAGACCAGGCAAGGCCACATGGATAGACTCTGTCTCAAAAAAACCAAAACAAAACAAAACAAAAAACCTAAAGCAAACAAACAAAAAAGACTTTGTTAGAAAAGATTGTGTGTGTGCGCGCACATGAGTATGTGTGCATGTGTGCAAGCACACACGAGTGTGTGTGTATGTGCATGTTAGGCTAGAAGTCAATATTGGGTGTTTTTATTAGCTGCTCTAATTTTTCACACGGGGTCCCTCTCTGAAACCCACTGCCTGGGCTGGACAGACCAGGAAGCCCTGGATTCCACCTCTTGCTCCCAGTGCTGGGATTAAAGACATGAGCCACCACCTGGCTAAATAATTTGTGTTGCTGTTTTGTACTTTATGTGTATAAGTGTTCTGGCTCATGTACAGTGCCCAAGGAGGCCAGAAGAGGGTGCTGGATCTTCTGGAACTGGAATTAGAGACGGTTGGGAGCTACTGTGTAGGTGCTGGGAATCAACCAGGGTCCTCTGGAAGAACAGCCAGTAGTCTTGGCCACCGAGACGCTTTTTAAAAACACTACTAGTAAGGTCTAGGACATTGTTTTCTACTTTTCATGAAATCATATTATTCTTTCATCATAAAACAATGATGTAATCATAAAGAACTCAGGAGTGAGAGGGAAGCTCTGGAGTCTAAATGCAGGAACTCGGCTTTGCTCTCAGGATGTCACAGTCCTGCTTCAACTGCTTTGCATAATGGGCAGTTGCTTCTAGAATGTGATTAATGATAAAGCTGCAATTCAGGAATAACATAGAATCCCAAAGTAATTTTATCAAATAGCTTATGTACATATCTCCATTATATTAAAGATAAATTCACAGTTCTGAACTCTCTCATTTTCAGGTTTTAAGTGTCTCGATGAAGGTTTTAAACAAGGCAGCATGTATTTTGGAGAGAATTATCAGATAAATATCCTGGTCTTTAGTCATTCACGAGATAAAGAGACAGCAGCTCCTAATTTCACACTCATGCAGCAGCTGTCAGGAGCACATGGAACATGCGCCCAAGTACGAGCCACACGGAGAACGGGCCACTGCCAGCTGCTTGCAACCATGGGGATAAAGAGCAGCGCATAGTTTACAGAGAGCTTTGAGACGGTCAACTTTTCAGGTTTGGAAACATTTGAAAAATGTCCTATCTGAAGCAAAATAATTCAACTAGCAAGTTGGGCTACAACAGACTTGTGGAAGTGAAGAAGAGAAAATGTGAAAACCTTGGCAAACAGTACCGTGACACTTATTCCCAAGCTGTTATCATTTTTAGCCAGTTCAACCTCAAAGATTTCTCCAGGCTTAGGAGGTGACGCAGAGCAAGGTTTAAAGCTCATTTTGTTGGATGTATTCATGGAGGAGGTAGGTTCCTTAACAAGGAAACACAAACAAAAGATTTCTAATTAGAGCCAAAATGAACTGTAAGTGGAAACAAATCTTTTAGGGGGAAATTTTTATTTTAAAGCAAAGCATTAAGGAATAGGATGTATCAAACACAGAGCCCAGGTGCCTTTCTGGACGCTATCAGTCCAGAGCACTTTTATTCTACTCCTCAGAGAACTCACCCGAAAGTGAAGCTAGACAAGGCAGAGGGACACCTAGAACCCTCTGGACACCTAGAAGCCCCTGGCCGCTTCTGTTCCTGACTTTGTGAAGCACCCATGCTCCTTAAAGTCAGTACTGACCAGTGGACTAAACCTGCCTTACTTTATGCCTGCAGATTCAGCCCAAACAAGGGAGCAACGGCCAAGCTTGGTTTCTGAGGGCGGGAGGCTCGTGAGGGACACTGTATTTCTGTGAAACAAAGCTGACTTCCCCTCTGAGCCTTCCTGTAATGTGAGTTTATATTTCTATCATTTCTAGAATGAGCTGTTTCCACAGCTGTTACTGTCACCTTAGAACTTCAGAAGAACTTAGTCTCCATGGCAACCCCACCTGCCCATCCTATGAACTAGTCACAAACAGTTTTTAAGAGTTCCCTTATTGACATGTGTTAAATATGTAAGCGATGACTAATTTATCGGAATTGAATCCTAATCTGAGCAGAGCTATTTCAGGGCTAGTGTTCAAAGCCTCTATTTCTCTGCAGGCTAGCATCAAGGCAGCAGTGAAGCCAAGCTCACACTAACAGCAATCCACTCATGGGGGTGAAGCCGGATGGTCTTAACACCCCATTGTAAACTGCTCCTCCTTTCCAGAGTCGCTCAAACATTTAGTAGGTTTTATGACGCTCCAATACATTTACCATTTTTCTGCATTGTTAAATGAAAAAGGTGACCCCACCCAGCATTAACGTCAAACCATGCCTTTTTCGGAGTTTGATGATCCTGGTTGCTGGAGTAAGTGGCATCATCTATGTCAGAATCACCATGGTCAGAGAGCTCAGTTGTGTCAGAAAGGCCTGGCCTTTTAGCTTTGCTCCGGTTACTGTCGGAGAAAACCTTCTCTGCGACCTTGGACATCACGGATAGGGATGGGCTGCTGTGCTGTGGCTCCTGCCAGCCTCGGTCACCTAAGTGGCTCGCAAAGAAGCCGTTGACGTGGCTCTGGGACAAGCTGGCACTTTCGGTCCTGGAGTCCTGGGAGCTGAGGCTTCCTTCCCGCAGGCCCCCGGAGAGCCCGAAAGGACTCTCTGTGATGTGCCTGAGGGTGCCACGTGGCCAGGGCTGGTCCTCTGCAGGCTCCACAGCACTGTCCAGAACGTAGGAAGGTTTCTTCATGTAGTTTTTCATCCCATTGGCAAAATGCACAGGAGTAGAAGGCACTAAAAGTTAAGATCCAACAATGAGAAGACACAATAACTCAAGTGACACAATGCTCACAAGCAAACACACAAATTCACACATTTACATACATGCACATACACACATGGCTTATGGGCATACACATGTATGCACACACTTATGCACACACACACACGAATTTTTTTGAGACAGTGTCTAACTATGTTTATCAAGCCTAGTTTTTCTATGTTGGCCAGGTTGGCGCCAAACTCATGAGATGTTTCCTGCTTCTGTCTACTGAAATTAAAGGCATAGGCTCCAATGCCCAGAAAATAAAATGAATTATATTTCTTAAAATATAAAATACAATGTCACACTTGAAGATGGATACATTCATGAAGTTCAAAATTGATAAATTTCCTGCAAGGCCAATTGGTAACACCTGTCAAAACCTGAATGCATGAATGCACACGCAAGAGACAGAATCATAGACTAGCGTTAGAGCGCTTTGTTTCTAGCGAAAATGCTGTTGTGCTTTGTCTAAATGTATCAGATACATATGAACCACACGAATACCAACAGCAGAAAAGACAGCATGTACATCAGACAGACTCCTTTAGGAAACGGAGCTGAGTTTTAGTACATATTTTGTGTTTTACATAAATTAAGCTCAGATTAACATGTCACTTTAAAGAAGATGGCAAACAGACAAGAGAACTGCAATAACACAAACGTGCCCAGGAGGTGACATGTTTTACATTAATTAAGTTCATAGTAACAGGTCACTTTAGAGAACTTGGCAGAGGGGGAGAGAGGACCTCTATAACACGGATGTGCCCTTGCGTGCATGTGCTAGAGACTGGGGTAGTTTACGATGGGATGATAAGACCATGCGGATCTACCCCCACGAGTGGGTTGCTGCCAGTGTGAGCATGGCTTCCACTGCGACTCCAACACAAGCTCTACCATGAGATCACTTAGCAAGACGTTCCCGCCCCCATGCAATGCAGGGCCTTGGCCTTCAGTTTCCAGTGTCCACAGACATTGGAAACAGATATGTACCCAGCATGGTGGGACATGCCTTTAATGCCAGAATCTGCGGGTGAGGGCAGGATGATGTTGTTTCAGGACAGCCTGTTACATACTGAATTTCAGGCAAACCTGAGCTACAAAGTGAGACTGTCTTACAAAAACTATCCCCACAGAAGTAACTGGGCGAGGGTATTTAGTTATAGCAGCACTAAAAGGACCAAGACAAAAGCCTCTCTTTGGTGGCATAATTGAGACACAAGGCCTGGAGCACATACTGGTAAAACATCTAGCTTGTTTAAGTTTTATCTTTTTGTAAGTGACCTAGTGGGCTATAGAACAGTGATACATCATGATAAAATTAATGTAGCTACCTAAAGAAAAAAAGTTATATAGTCACATTTCAATTTGGATAAAACAAAACAAACGAACAGAAAAGCCTTCTTTGGCTTCCATTCTAGGTAAGGCTCTCCCATCAAGGGCTGTTCCATCAACCTGACTTCCCGCAGCACAGATATACTTAAACATCTGTCTGGCTGGGTACTCATCTGCCTGTGGAGTTTAATTTCCATGAAGGCAGGGGTTTGTACCTTGGAGATTCTACACACTCAATAAATATCTGAACAAATCTATATCTTTTCTATAAAGCATCTGTTTAAGAAAAATTAAACTCTTTTAGAGGGGAAGTTAGGGGAGAAGATATACTCTGAGTTCACACATTCCCCGTCTAAAGCGATGGAGAAAGATGGAACTCAACTCTCTGCTTTGGAAAGAGGTTTTGGCTGCTTTCACTACCAGTTTCCAGGTGCAGCCGCTCCTTCATGTACAACGAGGTAGCTTAGGCATATAAGGTTCTTGCATATGCTGGAGTGTGCAGTGTTTACAGTATAGAAATGCTTATATAATATTTACAAATGTGCATGACATATATATGCACACATATGTAACAGTTACTGAATACAAGAGGAGACCACAGACCGAGCTACACTTTTTCACACCACAGCTCAGCACATGACTGTTCATTTTCCATTTTTTCGCCCAGCGTCTACATTATACCTAGCATTTACTTGAACTATTTTTAATTCTTTTTTCTTTCTTTCCAATTTGTTGGGATAGGGTCTTGCAATGTAGCCTAAGCTGGCCTCAAACCTGTGGCAATCCTCCTGCCTCGGCTTCACAAGTGTTGGGTTCACAGCCACGTGCCACAATACCAGGCTAATTTTGAGTTCTTTAACATATTCCTAAGGCCTGTCAAGGATGAAAGTAACTTATATAATACCTAGCATTTTGCTTTTTTTGAAAAATATAATTAATAATAACACTCAAATCAAACATTTACATTCTTAATTGTACCTGAAATGTATTAATCGTATAACTTAATTTTCACCATTTGCTCTCTGTTCAGGGCATTTGGTCAAGGGGGAAATTTGGACAGTAGAGATTTTGGACTGGCTGGCTACTGCCCATGGCACTGTTTACCACACACAGGCTGAGAGCTTCAGGATGCACCGTCCTCACAACCCTCTGTGAGGGTTCTAACAATTCTGTGCGATGAAGGGAGCAGGATGGGGCAGGTAGGACGAGGGGAGCAGGATGAGGGACACTGCTGTCTATTCTTTAAGTGGCAGCAAGAATATGGTCTTTTTGTTTTTACTAAATGTCTGATTTATTATTTTCCTTTTCATACAAGTTGACATTTGGACAGGACTTTATAGAATTCTGTAAAGTATTAGGTAACTACAACAATCATGTAATGACAGCAGGGCTCATTCTCACGTGACTAAGAAGAGAGGAACACACCAGGATACGGGAATGTAAGTGGCATCAATTTTACATGATTGAATTCAGTTTTTTTTTCATATTGCTGAAGATGAGTGATACAGAAAAATACTCAAAAATGAAAAAATTATACAGATGCATGCATCACAACAATTAGACAAGCATATGTCAAACTGTCAGAAGGCAAATAAACAGCTTAAAACCAAGTAATTGGGGCAGGCGTTGAGGAACTTAGAACGACTGTCACGGCACTACCTTTGGTTGGCTTTTCTTTCGGCTGGGAGATGACGAGGGTCACATCTTCAGGTGCATTCTGCAGAATGTCAACTGCAGCGTGGTGACTGGCGCCTTCCAGGCTCACACTGTTCACAGATATCAAGCGGTCCCCTGGAAAATGCACAGTGAAGTATTTTCAACAACAAAGCAAGACTCACAGCAAACCTTAGAAATTCCATCCTTTCTTATCCTTTTGGTTTTGCCTAAATTTACTTTTACCCTCTGTCCAAATTCATGTATTAGAAAGAGCACAGGAAATATCAAAATATGAAGTACCAGGCTTTAAGCATCCATCCAAGTCAGCTGGTCCTCCGGGGGTAACTGAACTGATGAACACACCTAGGTCCAGCCTTCCTATCTTTTCCCCTCCAATAATTTGAAATCCTGTAAAACAGAACATTAAGAAAAGGTGTTTTTATGATATTGGTTCTTTTAATGACTCATTATTTGTCCACTTGAAATAAATGTAGATGCTTAGATAAGACAATAAAGTGAAGCATTGGCTGCACGTTATCTTTGGCGTTTGATGACCAGGGGTGGAGGATGGTGGATGGAAGTAGCAGAATCTTAGGGGACAGAGAGAGAGTCTTTCCGTGTGTGTGTGTGTGTGTGTGTGTGTCTGTAGCTTAAGGGCAGGGAAGGGGCAAGAAGGAACACATTATAATTGTCCGTGTTTGAAAACGTCACAATGAAACCCACCTGTTTGTGTGCTAACCAGGAAGTAAATAAACAAAAACAAGAAAAGGTGCCAGAGCTGCTCCCTTCTCTTCCGGAAGCTCATGGTGACTCACCTAAGCCATGCTTTGAATCTTTCTTCAGGTTCACCAGTGTGATCTCCCGCTCTGGTGAAGACACGACACTCCATCTTTTGTGCAGTATATCTATTATGGGTTTGCAATTTACAAAGAAAATAAACACAATAAACGGAGGCATTAAGATCACTGGCTTGTTCTAATTTAAACAATAACAAAATATTAGTAGATTTGCTTGGTCACTTAAAAAATAAAACGTCAGGTCACTGTAGTCACTAGCATTTTATAGTGATTTATCATTTATAAGCACACTGCATCACATCTATTCCCTCTAAACCATTCCTCTTCACACACTATGTTCCAGTTACAAGCGCGTCTGTGACTGTCAGGGGACAAAGGCTTTGAGTAGAGCTGCCAGTCAGCCACCACTGCAGAGATACAGAACCAGTAATGCTGGGTTTTCTGAGTCGTCTTTCTACTATACCACAGTAGATTGTTTGACAGTTATTGGATTAAAATTTTCTCTCAGGGCTTGAAGAGTTGAAACAGCAAAAACCAAGTGTTGCTCTTCCAGAGGACCTGGGTTTGTCTCCTCCCACCCATGTGGTAGCTGTTGGGGGCACTACATACATGTTCTATACTGACATGCATGCAGGTGAAATACTCATATGAATAAAAGGAAAATGAAATCTGTAAAAAATAAAAATTTCAGGATGCAGAGGCAGGCCAGTCTCTGTGAGTTCAAGGCCAACCTGGTCTACAGAGTGAGTTCTAGGACAGCCAGGGCTACAAAGAGAAACCCTGTCTCGAAAAAACAAACAACAAAAAAATCCCCTCCAATATGCTGACATATTATTTATAAATTAGTGAAATACTATTAGTGAATAACAGAATAAAACAGTAATAAAAAGTAACTGGATTCAGATTTTAAAACCCACTTCCTGTGGGGTTTTATATACAATAATAAATGATCTATCATAACTACACTCAAAAGATTTCTGACACCATTTGCAGATCAGGGATAAACAGCTAAATGTATCTTATAGCTGATGTCACCATCCAGAATAATGACTTAATATTTACACAAGCTTTTGTAAACTCTATTATCTATGTGAATTTCAACATCGGAACTGCAATTTGCCTTTTCCAATTTCATCTTACTTTTTTCTTATCATTTGCAAACATCTTAATTAAATCAGTAAACACAACACTTTATTGCCATATTAGCCAAGTATAATAAAAAATTCAAGCACACAGACGAACACACATACATGCAAACACACACAGGCAAGCACAAAAAGAGCTGTTCATACTGACTGCAGAGTGAGCTGGTCTGTCTACAAAGGTGGTCATGGTGGTAGGTTTTAACATTGAGAAAGATAGTTTTATAAGTTGAATTTTCAAATTTAAGTCTATAATGTTCTTAAGCACACTGATGCTTTTTTGTAAAAACCAAAACTAAAACACAGAGCTTATGTCTCTACAGACAGATAAACCAGAGATTCCGTACAGCTCTACACACATTTTCCTAGCGACTGAAACCACTCACAGTGCAGATCTTTGCTGAATGTTCCAACATTTAAGACCAGGAATGGATTTAAATTAGTGTTAATATTATAGGAATCAACATGCAATAAGTGTTGGTGTCTAAGTAATAAAAAGCGGCACTTCAAAGTCAAGAAATAAATCCTTTACTCTGAGGAAACCTGAACCATCATTTCCTGTCAGCAAGGACTTTAGCCTCGTGTCTTAAGGGCCACCTTAACACATCGCCCCTTTAGGACGAGAACCTATTGGTGATCAGTACTCATGGTAGCGGTGTGGTATTTCTGGTGACTTTCTGATGGAATTACACATAACATCCCTGGGTGCTGCTGCAGGGAGCCATCTCCAGACAGTGCTGAGAAAAGCACACCAGTGGTCTCCCGGGCAGCTTTTGTAACATCCTCTAACCCCCCTCAGTTCTGTTTTCCTGAAGTAGGCAACGAGCTTTAGTTCTCAGTTGTAACAAACATAAAAGGATATACAGCAAAACACAAGATATAAAATAAAGTGAACAAGAGTAAGGCCACATTGATAACTGAAATAAAAGTACTTAGTTGAGGTATTAAGAAAAGAACCCAGACATAATCAAAGTATACTGCAAGAGCCACCAGACGGTAACAGTCGCTTTGAATTTTACACCCACCTCTCCACCCCCCCCCATCCAATTTTCAGATTTAAACTCTTGGTGCATAGAAATTTTGAGATTTAGAAACTGGTGAATTAATTATTCTATGGTACTTGGTAAGTCCAAATGCATGTACTTAGTAGAAAAGCAAATTCCCTGGCAGGTACAGGCAGGATAAAATAAAGATTAGGCTAGGCAGAAATGATGGCTTCCAGGTTACTCTCCTACTCACTGTAGCTTAAGGATAGAAAGGCATGCGGCCCTGCTAGATTATAGATGGAAAGAAGAAAAGTCCGCCTGGCTTACACAGAGGATCCCTGCCTCATGCCAGTGTCATGAATGGGCTCAGGGGGAGTCTGTGAGCCTCACCAAGTGCTCTTTCAAAGAGGGGCAGTTTCCTCACTTCCACCTCTAACAGGTCGTTACAGGATTCGTTATTCATAATGCTCATCTGTTTAATTTCATGTATGTGTATGTGTGTACATGGCTGCATGCATGTGTGCAAGCATGTCTGTGTTTGTGCGTGTGTGCGCACGCACATGTGCATGCCTAATTACAAGCAACAGAGCTTGCTTATTCAAAGACTCTTGACTGTGACTTCAGCACGTATTCATTTATTTTGGTTATTCTACTATTCTTCAAATATTTCTTGAGAAACTTTCCTATCAGTATCTATCACTAGGCATTTTGGGGAAATAAAGCAAGGGCATGAAACCTGCGAGTCAGAACAGCAAGTGTGACGAGGCCAAGCTCAAGCTTCAGCACGAAACAGACTGCTATTAGTAATGTCAGAAAAAAAACAATTTATAATAAAAGGGAAAATAATGCCAATCAAATGGCTGCATTTCAGAAGCAGGGGTCAGGCCTACGGAGTGGTCCTGGGAAGCGCTGCAGCAGTGACAGCCTTGACAGCTCCTCCCTGCTGGGTATAAAGGGGGTGACATCAGGGAAGCAGGGTAGGATGTTTCTGAGGAGCATCCACATGACATCTGCCCCAAGTCAGAGGTTCACAGAGACAGGAGCAGAGCCCAGACTGGTGCAGCTGCCGAAGGAACACCTGAATAGAAACGGAGGGAACTCTGCGACCCTCCCCCTTTGCAGACTCTCTGCTCAGCCTTGTGGTGTCTGCAGGGACAGATCGGCAGGACAGCAGGATCACCTGTGCAGGTGCGGACACTTCAGCAGACACTCAGGCTGAGTGTGGTTTCCTTTGGTTCTCTGTACACAGAAGATGCTGACGATACCTTTTCATTTTTGTTTCTCCTTATCCGGGAGGAGTTTCTGAGGGTGTCTACATAAGCAAAGTTATTTGCCTACAGGTTTATGCAACGAACAGGGCTGGTGTGTCTCTAGGAGGAAGAGATTTCTGGGTTTTAACTATATGAAAACAAGCATGAATGAATGCATGAATATAAGGAGGACCTATCTTAGGCCTCAAAGTAATTCTCTTTTCTTACTAACATGTATTACAAATACAGCATTTCTCAACTATTTGAAAGTAAAGAATCCTAACTTGAAATTTCCCGTTCTTTAAGTGAAACATGCCTGTGCTCTACCCAGTGACGTCTCCCTGGGGAACAGTGATGGGACTGTGGGTGAGCCCTTGCACTAGGGACCAGGGAACCTACCTAGTCTTTAGTTAGAATAGCACAGTCACGAGCACGGTTACCGGGAACAGCATGGCTTTCTTCTGACAAAGCTAAAAGCTATGTTGGGATGAAGTCCTCAAGAAATGATAGGACTTAGTAAGAGGAATGGTGTTTCAACTACGTTTTAAGCATGGAAAACAGTGTCTCTGAGTTACAGACTACACCCTGCCCACATCAGGTGGCCTCAGGCTGACTGATGGAAGAGTCCAGGAGAAGACGCTTTGGGTAATGCCTCTCCAGGGAAGAGACCTATTTCAAATGGTGGGGCTAATGGGCCAGTGGCACCATATTGGTATAAAATCAGGTTCTTTTCCTTGTGCAGTTTTTGTTTGTTTTGAGGCAGGGTCTTATGTAGCCCAGGATGGACTGGCACTAGATCTGCCTGCTTCTGCCTCCCGAGTACTGGGCTTGGTGCGTACCACTACTGCTCAGCTGGAACCGTAACTCTCAACACAGTTCCCCCGGCAGGCAGGCGACTGGCCTTTCTGCTCAGGCTAGCTGGTGAGATGAGGCTTCTGAAAACTTAAAGAGAAAAAAAATTCTTAAGTCATGGATAGTTCGTACAGATTCATATTCTTGTCTATCCGAATTTAAACCAAAACATGTGTGTGCTACCATCACAGAGCCATTGTTAGCAATCACCTTCCTGAAGCTTAGCAGGGAGGTGCCTGTTACTAGCGGTAAGGTGGTGTCATGCCAAGAGAGGTCTGTGGAGTGGATTGGACCTCGGTCCTGGAAATAAACCTTCTGCATTCAGATTGGGACTCACTGCTCTCCAGCTCTGCAGAGCTCATCTCTGCTTTCTCATTTGTGGAAAGGAAGCAGCATCAGCACCCCCAGATAGGAAAGGGTATTGTGGGGACTAAATGAGAATTAATATAAGGTCTTAGTAATCGTTAGTCCACATTACTACCACCACGGTCGTGTTAACAGCACAGTATGTGAGTTATGCAGGTCCACAGAAGTCTGTGCCCTCATCCTGACGACGGAGGCCTATGTACATAGTTACTTAGCTTGACTCATATGTCATGCTCTCAGCTTTTCTGAGAACTTCTAATGGAGATGAAAAAAAAAATCCCTCAGCCTTTCTTCATTTCTCATGAGTATTTAGGACAGCATCGAGATTTATAATTTTTAAAACAATTTCACCACCAACACTAACTCATTCTCTTGAATAACTGGTAAGCCTATTTCTTTTGGAGAATGAGATATGAGCATGTCGGTGCATGAAGTTTTGGCCTACAAAACGCTTTGACCTTATTTCAGGATTCTTTTTTTTTTGTCATTACTATCAAAAAAATTAGAACTAAACTTAGAGGCATCAAATTTAGCTGCTTCTATTAATTATTTGAAGTTATGTGCATGTGTGCCTATGTGCCTGTGGTACTTGTGTGGGAGTGCAGTTGCCCGAGGAGACCAGAAGAGGCCTCCTGGAGTTGGAGTTACAGGCCTTTGTGAGCCACCATGTGGGTGCTGAGAACCAAATCCAGTCTGCAAGACCAAGTCTAACTGACGAGCTGTCTCTCCAGCCTCAATGACATCATTAACTTTCATTGCAAACATGCTTGTTTTCTCACAGGTTTTTAATAATTCAGCTTTCAGGATTTAAGGGTAAGAGCTGGTGCCAAGTAATACATACATACATTCATACAAACATACATATATAGTAGATAATAATGGAATATTGTTTCCCACACTTAAACCTGTTAGAAAGATCAAATAAGATACAAACATTTTCACAGTAAATTATAAAAAGTTTGAATACAGACTTGAGCCACTGCCCACACTGGTCACACTCCTACAGCTTTCTCAGTGGCTAAGCCGGGAAGGTTCACATTTAAAGTCTTCAGTTCTGCTTCTAATATTCAGAAAGAGACTCAGAACTGGTCCCACTGTGTGCTCCAACTTCACGCTGACCCCACACGTTTCCTTACCGATACCCCTATTATTTTTGAATGTTTCCATGCCTCTAATCAGACTGTGTCCTTGATCTGAAATGCTTATCCCCACTCCTGTGAGGTCTTGAGAACAGTCCCTCAGTATTTAAAAACGGCAGACTGACTGAGCTCAAGCACCGCCGTCAAGTCGCCCCAAACTTATTTCTGCCCCGGGCCACTGTCACCCCAAATTTATCTCTGCCCCAGGCCACGCTCTTGTCCTCCCAAGCAGTGACCTTTCCCAGTGTCCTCTCCCTCATTCCTTCCCTTTACTGCAACAGCCAAAACCCCAGGTCCCACCACTGCCCTGATGCTGGGAGCACCACACTTCTTTAACTGTGACAAAGGGCTAAATTCTTGGCATGGAATAAGGAGTTTCCACACTTGTGCCCAGATCACTATGTAAGGTACAAAAAAAAAAAATACAGTAAAATTAGGGAAAACATTTGCAAACCTACCATTGTCTTTAAAGAGTACTTGGGATGAAGAGTTTCCAGAACTAGGCAAAGTCATTCCTGTGGTATAAATTAAATTATTAGACATTTTATAAAATGGCCAGAACCTGTAGAAGTAAATTTTTTCCTGAAAACTTCACACCACATACACACCAAAAACAAAAAACAAAAAAACCAATGAAACATTAAGGCAGCAATGTTTTCTGTGATTTACACCGAGAGAAATGTCTTATCCACAAAGAGCATACTTACTATTTCTAAATAATAATTAAGTATATTTACTTGTTTGGAGCCATGTATTTAACTCAAATGTGCTGTTTCTGACATGATAGATATATCAAATGTGAAATATTTATAATGAAATGAGTTTAAAAAACATTGTCCGAATGTTAAAAGAAAATGTAACATTCAATGAAAATGGATAAAATAAAAAAAAATCAGAAAACAAATAGATCTTAATAGATCTGTTTTCTTTCTGATCCTCTATTGCCTAAGCTAGCCTCACTCTTGCTAACATGGGTGGAGTTGGCCTTGAGCTCGCAACCCTCTGCCTCCTCCTTACAGGTGCCGGGTCCTTGTGCTGCACCCGACAGCAGTCTAGCCAGGCTTTAAGGGGGCAGCTATGGTTCTCTTGGTATCAGGGATGATTTTAGAGCTCGTGAGATCTCATCATATGTAAACATACTTTAAATATCATTTCCTAAGGTGGTTACATGGTCTCTCTTCCCTAATTTTACTACGGGTTCACCCTATGGGATGACATCCAGTCTTTCCACCGGCTCAACTTCAATTGACGATGGCATGACCTCTGGAAGACGCAATGCTTCCACACACACAGCCATGCTGCTCGCCAGGAATATCTATCAACTACAATGTAGAGTTTTCCGGTGACTTCCTTTACTTTACATGTCCCCAATCCAATTACAAAATGAAAAACTAAGTTTTCGTGTCAGGTGATTAGGAATAAACTCAGGTCCAAGGGAGAAATCAGCAGACTCTGAGGGCTGACAGCGGGGGATCCGAGCAGCAGCCTAGCTTCCTGAGCTCCAACAGCTGTTCTTCTTCACTGGATTTCCCGTGGGAGATGCACAAGGCAAAGAACTCTTGAACATACGATGTTCAAGTATACATACACACACATATTCAGGTATACACAAACACGTTTATACACACACATGTTCAGGTATACACACACACACACACGTTCAGGTAGGTATACACACAAATGTTCAGGTATACACACACATGTTCAGGCATCCACACATGTTCAGGTACACACACACACGCATGCAGGTACACTTTCATGTGCCCCTTTAATGGGGACTGGGTCCTGCTATGTTGGTCCTGAACTCACAGTCTTAGGACCCCAGTCTCTTCCACGCTGGGATACAGGCGTACACCATGATACCCAGAGCCACTCAATTTCAAGATCTAGGTAATTAATTAACAGGCCCCAAGTAAGAAGCTGGTAAAATCTGAAAAAAAAATTAACTAATAATTGCCATCTACCAAGCATAGTGGTCTTCATAAAGTTATCTAAGGCTCTGGAGGCTATTCTAATCCTTTTTAAACTAAAAGAAACCTAAGTTTATCCTTCCAAAAGAAAACAGCGCTATGAGAACCAGCTAGCACAGGCTTGCAGAAGAAGTCACGGAGGCAATGCAGAGCCGTGTGCCAGGCCCAGGTGCTCTCTAGGGTGCCCAGGGCCACGTGACCAAGAGGGAGCCAGGCAGTGCGGGCGTGAAGCAGTCCCAGGTTCTATCAGGGACTGACTTTTACTTGAGGCATTTTAATCTTCGCAGTCTGAGAACTAGAATCCGCAGCAACAGGCTGGAAAGGAGCAAGGTTCTTTTCACTTCCCTACGGGAGAAAGCAGGAGAGCTTGGTAGTGCTGACCTATGACATACGCTTGGCCAGGGTCTTCACTGGATGATTCTGATTCCTGTTTCCTCCTCTCGGGGCTTCTATTTAAACTGGCAACAGACTTTGAACTAAAGAGGGAAGAGGAAGGCAGGAGGGGAAGTGTCAGTGTGAAAAGAATATGGTGAAAATGACAAAAGTCTAAACAAAAACAAAGGCATGAACGTGGGATTCCCAGTCTCGGCTGTGGGTTAGTCAAGCATGCTCTTACTTATTAAGCTTTGTGACTCCTGCCAGGGATTCTGTGTCAGGTCTCGCCATCGGGTACAGTGGTTTTCCCACCAGCTCCGCAAAGGCTGGCGGTAGGGACTCCACGTTAACGGCCTGTTTCCAATGAGGATAGAGAGAGGCCTGACTGAGGTCATGGTAGGATTTACTCATCCCTCTAGGCTTTTCCTCCCATGAAGCTCTGCCGTTCTTCTCTTTGGAACTGTTCTGCAGTGGTTGGTAGAGTGACAGCTCTGAGCAGGAGAGCCTCTTCAGAATCTCAGCTTGAACTGACAGGGGTCGGACGGCAAGCTTGTTGAGGGTGCTGCTGGCCAGACTGCCAGTGCTGATTGCGCGGCACATATTAAATCCTCTAACAGATTCTGCTTGCAGGCTCAGGCTCCTAAACGAAGCTCTCTCTACAAGGAAACAGGATTGCTTTACACGATGGAAACACTGCAGTCAGTACCTTTACGAGAAGAGTCGATTTAACAGGCAACATAGGGCGAGTACGCTTTAATCATCTCGACTGCCAGCACTAGCTGGGTGCGTTCAAAGTAGGCAACTGAGGGTTTTAAAAAGGAGTTAGAGGGTCCTGGCTTCTGTACAACACTCCATCCTCTTTGCTTTCACCAGTCTTGGACTAAGCATTTCTTCTCCCCTACCAACTCTTTCACCATGTGATGTTCGTGACTTAGGCCGGCACACCCCAGACTCCTTATGGCTCTCCATGCTGACAACAAAATTTCTACCCTCGTCGAGTTTCTGCTGAAATACCAGCAAACTAAGAATGGGGAGAAGGGCTGATGGAAGCAGGATGGGTTCTGACAAAGCAACTTTGCAGACAGCTTTGCCCAGAGAAGGAATCCTTGATTATAATTTTATTTTTACGAAGCTGACTGCAGATGGAGAAGATGGCATTCCACTTTGGATACACAAAACCCAGAGAGATGAACACACCACAACTGTATGCCACACACGCTGTAGTTCAGCAATGCTGGTATAAGCCAAACGTCCTCAGGGTGGGTTTTCATGCCATTATCCACTGTGCCAACCCCACCTTCCCACCTCCACTTCACGATGAAGGTCAACAGCCCCGGTCTTCTTCCCTCTGTGTTTATAAGCATGGGACTGTCTAGGCTGAAATTTTGTTTTCTAATAAATAAAGGCCAAAAGCCTGCTTTTAGAAGCTAAATTTAGAAATACTTTAGGTCAAGCCCTTGGTTATTCTATATCACTTCAGTATTCTGACATTTGAAGCTATTAGCAAAACCACTGCTTTACACGCAAACAAGACCTAGGAACAGAGCTTTGAATGATGTTGTTGTTTGTGAGTTAGGCAAACCGTATCACAAACCACGCTCTGGGTCCCATTCCAGATGGCATATCAGGGTATATCTATCTGTATTAAAGTGTGACAGGCATGTCAAACATCTGGGAAAATGTTGTGATTCACTTATTTCAATTTTCAAGATAATATTCATGCATCAGAATGAACCTTGAATTAACATGCCTCATTATCACCAGGGAACAGTGGTTGCTTTTTATGATGGAAGTCGATTTCAAGATCTTTGTGTGTACCCAAGAATTCCAAGAATCATCTTAATTTATGGGGTTTTTGTTGGAGTGGGTAACAGTATTTCTATTTTCTTTCATCTAAAAAGGAAACACCAACTCAACGGTAGCAAACACCCTACACCCAAAACTGGCACAATAACGGCGGTCAGTTCCGCAGGTTCTGTCTGCTGAGCACGGCAAGGACTGGTCCTCTCAAATCCACCCACAGCTCACTGCCTCACAGAGCCATGGGCCACGAGTGTAACCACTGGCTGATCTCATCGGTCCCACTGTCTTTACTGGAACACACTCCAGCACGCACCAACAGCTACGGAAAGGAAGCAGGAGCTGTAGTCTAACACCACTGCCGTGTTTCCAATGGAAGCTTCCAGCCTTGCTGGCTTCACACACAGCCTGTGGCAGTGCCTTCTAATCTGCTTCTGCTCCTGCTCATTCTCCTCAGCATCCTGTACTTCCCCATGCTGTTGACTTTCCCATAGGCTCATTTGGAGATAGACGCCATATACTCTTATTCCTTAGTACTTACTGTTTAATATAAGAGCTAAGTATATGATTTATTTCTTTATTCTATGAAGGAAAGCTATACGTAAATTCCCACTAGGGGCAAGGAGAACAACACTGCACCCCACAATGGGTTCTCACCATCATCTACTTAGGGAAGACACTTTCTATTCTGCACCTATTTCCTTCTTCGGAAAACCAGGACTTAATGACCTCTAGGGTTCTCTATAGAACCAGCATTCTCTAGTATGAATGTCCACCAATCTCCTGTGGATTATGCCAGGAATTTCCACTTGTTTAGTTCAGGTAGGTAAATAAGAACATGGCTTCTTCTAACATAACTCAAAGTGGGACATAATTCCTCTGAAGGTTTTATAAGATATCGGAATGCATATAGACAATGCCACCCTAAAGTGTTTTCTCCATGAGTAAAGGATATTTTGCTATTTGAAACCTGCAACTGAGTTTGTGAAATATTCAGAGTGCTCGCTCTTGTGGAGAAAGAAAATGAGACTCTGAAAACTCAGTTCTTTCCTAAGGTCATTAAACACGACCACGCTACTGCTGCCGTGTACCTGGTATGTGGTCCAGAAGCACACATGGAGTGGCAGTTAGCGCCTGCTGCTGCTGACACTGCGAGTCTCACTGCGAGTACCGGCGGCATCACTGTTGCTGAGTGGTGGGAGACTGAACCCAGGCCTCGTGTATGCTGGGCAAGCACATTCCTACTCAACTCCACGTCCTCAACCCCGTCCTTCCAGACACCTTAATCCATACTGTGACAATGACACTGCAGATGGAGCAACTAAGCCAGCTTTGGTAGTGTGCCTGAGCCTTCCGAGTCTGTAGTAGAATGGTTTGAGCATCAGATGTTTTACTCGAGGTGAGAATCATGCATGACTAAGGCTCAACCATTCCCTTAAAGTGAAACCCGAAACCCAAAATGCGCTAAGAGATGAGACTGCATGTGCAGACATTTCAGGAAGAGACTCGGTGCTCAGCTTCATTTGACGTCTCAGTCAGAACACTGAGAACAGCGTAAAATCACCTGCGGGTCCACGTGTGTGAAGACGAGACATAACTGACCTCTTAGAGTTAGGCTCCATCCCTCACATGCATCTCCTTATGTGTTTGCAGATATTCCAAACTCTTAAAAAACTTCAAAATTAGAAACGTTTCTGGTGCCCCCAAAATTTGGATGTGGGATACCCAAGCTACATTTCACATGAGACACTGAGGAAGGAGGACCAACTTCACGCTCGTCTTCTGATTCTCCCTGCTCCGTCACATATAAAATATGCTCTCTCCCTGTCCAGTTCCAGTTTGTATTAAACATCGATCCAAGTAGCAACGCTGACACCTTTAATCAGTGGTACTTTGTTGTACTTTAAAAAAATATAAAAGCATATACAATTTTAGCAAAGCAAAGTAGAAAATAAAAGGTAATGTGATAACAGCCATGGCTGTTGTATTTTAAAACTCATATATGAGGAAATTCAATGAAAATGCAGATTCAAGGGATCTGACTTCCAAAGACTGCGATTCTGCAGGTTCACATCAGCTCCTAGAATCTTATGTTAGGGGAACACATGGTCTCCCCTTTGATCCTGAGAGGTGAGAAACATCTACCTAGAGTTGGCATCCCACTCTATGCTATAGGAAAACTTTTATAAAATTTCAGAATAAAAGCTCCAAAAGAATTCAGAGACATGGGTTACCAGTGTGTACTATTAACCCTTCACTCAGATACTTCAGAGTGATCCACTGAAGCCTGTAGGGGTTTACCAGAAGGAAGTGATTTCAAATCACCTTAATCTCAACATGTGGTTATGCAGGGTTAGCATTCAGTATTTCAGCTGATAGATTTCTGTACAGAGCTGGATTGTGTTTGCAGCTGAAAACCCATTGTCCTGGTTGCTATGGTTACTTATCAAAGCCACCAGATAGGAAAGATCTCAAATATGACTAGCAGGTGCTAGATCTGCTGCTCAAATGCCCGACTGCACTGTAGGGCGGCCACTTCACCTGCCTGTATCCTGCTCCTTGTTCTTTCCTACACGAATCTCCAAACCCAAGTCAGCTATCACCCACCTCTCCAGAGCTCAGACCTGAGACCTTCCTCTTGGAAATGATGTGCATCCTAGAGCCCACATGGTATACTCTGTCAAGATCTTAGCAATGGCTCAGCAGTTAGGAGCATTAGCTGCCCTTCCATGAGACCCAGGTTTGATTCCCAGCATCTGTAACTACAGTTCCAGAGAACCCGATACCCTCTTTGGGCCCTGAACACAGGAGGTATACAGATATACATTCAGGAAAAACACACATACATATGAAATTAAAAAGTTAAAAACTCGTGTATAATCATCTCACAGTTATAACTAAGACACGCTTACATCTTTTATACACTTTTAAAGAGACTCTGCTTATCTGCAGTGCTGTCTTCCAAGTGAGCAGAGAGCTGATACGACAACAGACTTAATTTAGACATTTAAAAAAGAGGTACCCTGTACGTTTTCACACTAAACAGTTTCTGAGTTTCTTTTAGAAATTGTGGCAAAAACCACGCCTATATCCTGGAGTCACATGACACAGCCCACTCTACTTACCAATGTCTTGGGCATCCTGGTTGCTCTGCCGCGCCCGCATCTGCAGCTGGAACTTGTGCTGGGAAGAGCAGAGGTGCAGCAGGTACTGGCAAGCCTTACCGCTGTCCGTCTGGAACGCGTGCTTGATTCCGTCTGATGTGTTCTGGAGGGTGATTTTCTTTTTCTGTAAGATTAATCAGAGGTCTCTGTAACTAGGAAGCTTCCCTGGGACTTTACATCACCAAATATTCTAACCTACAAATAACAAGTAGAGATATTTATGTTTTCAATTATTATGTGTAAGTGCCCTTTAACTGATACCACATACAAATATAAATATAGGAACTATAATTCTACATACAAACAAATTTAGTAACCATCACTTTCAGCAACTGTAGCTTCTATGTGTTCCATTCACCCAAAGAAATTTCAAAAATTACTCGGGGATGGGAGCTGGAGAGAGGGCTCAAGGGAGAAGGCTGCTCTCCCAGAGGACCAGGTTTTAACACCTAGTACTTAGATATAACCCCACTTTAGAGGACCTGATGCCCTCCTCTGGCCTCCAGGCGCTGTACACAGCTAGCAGTCACTCATGCAGGCTAATACTCACACACATATAATAGAAATGAACACATCGTTTTTAAAAAAGTATCCAGGGTTACATAAGATTGTATTCAGGGAAGTATATATTTGAACGTGTTCCTCCCAGATTGAAACAACTTTTAAAGATAACAATGTTTATATCTGACTTGATAAGAATGTTTACAAATGGCAATAAAACTGGTAAGAGCTGTGCATCCTACTCCATAAAGAAAGGAAGAAGACATTTTCAAAGGAACAGTAATGGTGAGAGCTACGACTCAGTTAAGGAGAATCTGGGTGGCATGAAGGCCAGGATGGTGGATATGGGAAGTTAAGGAAAATGTAGGTAGGGCAGGGGTGGTACGCCCCTGTATGCCCTGAGTCTAGGAACTCAGGACCAGTCTTGGCAGTGTGACCACACGGTATTTCAGACAAAGAACCAGAAAGGGATTAAAAACAAAAAGCAAATATGTGAACAGAGACTAGATGACAGAACCTGAGATGCCAAGTTCTTTAGCACTTAAAGATGCTAATTTTGCAAAAGTCAAGAAAAGTAGGAAAATAAAAAAAAAATCAATTTTATCTGGTTGCTGTTTACTGAAAGATATATCTTACAGAAGAGGGCTTCCCAGAACCCATGGCCTGTGCTGAGGCTTCCAGACGGTCCCCGGAGCATCATCAGGCTGGAGGTCATAGCACATAACAGATCTTACTTATATGCCATTAGATTGTACTCTATTAACCACTGTGCAAATTAGTCTTTTAGTTTTACTTCAAAACGTAGAAATAGGTACAGAAAAGTCAAACTTAATAAATAGGAGCCCAAAGTTATAAGAGTGTCACCTTTCTTACATAGATTTATATTAAAGATCTTTATAATAAAAAAACAATGCACAAATACTGTAAATAGAATGCCACAATAGAAATAAATTAGAATAAATGCGATAAAGCAGAGAAACCTTATATTTGAGGTAGAAACAGCTGCTAATGAACCTCTGGAACTGAACCTGATTTCACTCTGTTAAAAAGGAACCCATCACGTTTTAGAATGAGCTAAAAGAAAAGTACCGTCAAACCAGAATCTTAACTATGGGCGCGCCGAGGAACTGTTTGGGGAGTTGGGTACTTTTCCCCTAACAAACACACCACACAACCATTGTCCAGTTCTTCTGAAAGACACTAAGAGCAAAGCCGCAAATCTATTGATCAGAGTCAACACAAGAGGCAGATCTACTCAGACAATCCTGAAAAGAGCTGCAGGATCAACAGCCAAAGGCAAAGAGGAGCGAGGACACAGAAGCCTGCGAGAGGGGAGTTACAGGTCCAGAGTGATGAGGAAAAGGGATATTATAGACAGCGTGCTGGCTTGAGAAATCCTGTTTTGAAAAACAGCAACAACAAAAACAGAGCAAAAATTACTTTTCTGATTTCATCACCATGGAGTAGACATTAAAATCTAAAGTTGCAGGAAGTCATGAGCCAAGGTCGTAAAATTCAGTGGTGCCTGGACGTCTGCGACTCATGTAAGAAGCGCAATGAGAGATCACTCTTGAGCATGACATGGTTTGTTAGAAGGAAGATTGTTATCTTAAAAATATTAGGGGGATGGCTCCAAGCGAGGGACATTACTGTAGAGTGGGTTTTCATGAACAGAAAGTTCACCTTGGTTGCAGTTTAACTCAAGTTAACTGAGCATATAACTAGTTAGGAATGCATCCTATGCTTTGGAAAAAAACAGAAACAAAATCTCAGGAAAACCATTTATAACTAAAAAGGAAAAAGAGCTTTAAGTTGTACTAAAGTTTACTAAGGAAAGTCAATAACTATGTAATAATTGAAATTGACTACACCAATTGAAAATATAATGGAGGAAGTTAAAATGGACATACTGAAAAGGAAATCTTCTTTGTTTCTCTCCATGGGAAGCGAAGGACCAACGTACGCACTCCATTGTGAACTTCAAACACAAGCACTCCTTTGGAACAGACTCCAAGCAGGATTCCTGTCTGTGACTTCTTCTCAGGGTGCACTCGGTGGAGATGAACTCCATACTCTGTCAGCCTTTGGCAGACCTGTTGGGACACAGACGGTACATCCATAAGCAGTGCTGTACGGGAGGAGATGTGCGGGGTCAACTGCTCAGCGTGGCCGGCAGGCGTCTCAGTTGGACCCACATTCCAAAAGAATATTCGCAATACTCACTTTACATGGTGTGAACACAAACCCAGCACACAGCGCTGGCTAAATACAGGGGAGCGGAGCCTAACACCTGAGAGCTTTGCAAGCTTAGGTCAGGCCGAGAGAAACAGCAAAAAAGCCAGCCAGCAACAGTGAGTCACGGCAGAACAACTGAAAACACGGTCACAAGAAGTCAATGACAAGGTGGAAAGACAACCCAACTGAGCAGTAAGTATATGTAAGGCATGCATTCAACAAAGGCACTTGTAAGATGTAATGAAAACGTATTTTGTTAAGAGACAATCAGGTGTGAAGGAGCTTGAAAAAGGCTTACAAATACATGTCAAAAAAAAGTTGTATGAATGGAAAATAAAACATGATAAAATGATCAGTAAAATACATAATTAGGAAAGGCAAATTAAAATTATAATGCTGGGGCTCGAGAGATGGTTCAGGGGTTAAGATCACATACTGTCTTGCAAAAGACGGAAGTTTGGTTCCCAGCACCTGTGGGTGACTCACAATGGCCTTAAATCCAGCTCCAGAGGCTCTGACATCTGCTGTTTCTATGGACACCTGCACTCATGTAAGCATGCACACACATGCATTGAGTGTACACACAAATAATAGTAAAAATAAATAATCTAAAACCATCTTTAAAGAGCCCAGTGATGTATCATTTCTCACTTATCTTAAGGGCTAAGAAGAAAAATACAGAAAAGAGCAAGTTACAAGTGGAACAGGAGATATGCTGCCCGTGAGAAGGTGGAAAAGCTCCATCTACCTCCCTTTAAATATGCATGCTTTTGTTTTATATTTAGCTCTTGCAAGTACTGAACACAATGGCTACAAAAATTGAGTTCACGGCTTGACTTTAAATGTGACTCAAACAAAACAACTTATTCTGGCCTTCTTACCATCCATCTGTGTTAAGGATGCTATAAATCAGTGGATGAAGTTTCTTCCTGGGACTCTGGGGAGCTGAGGCACGTGGTTCTCTGCACCACGGAGCAGCAAACAGGTTCATTCTTCCTGGGCTGCTGCACCCGAGCAAGTTCTCAAAGCTTCTTCTTTCAATAGAGACGTTTCCTACACTGGAAGCTTACTTAGCTCTGTCTTTTCTATCACAGATGCACTTCACATGCAGGCTCGCAAGGAGACGATGACAAGCACAAACTATGAGCCAGTGTTTCTGCACCTCTGTGCCTACATGAATGAGCTGTCATCTAGTACAAGAACTAATTCACACTTTAAAAACAAGAGCAATGAGTTCCAGAATGAGTGTGAACTCGATCTCACAACTACTCAGTAATCAAACTCACTCTTCCTTCTTTATGATGCAGCTTGATTCTTGAGATTGTGGACCAGGATAAAGCTATGGAATTAACAGCCAGATAGATATGGTTCAAATAAGAGTTCTGTCCCTCACAGTGCTACTGACCTTGGGATATCATGTTTTCTTTGAGCCCCATTTTCTCCTCCACAGAGGAGATTGACACTGCCGCAGTTTTAGGCAGAAATTGGTCAAAGGCTGCAAAGGGTTAAATATTGCACCCTAATTTTTAGATGTGTCCTCCAACTCTTGCTCATTTTGACCATGCGATGATGTGGGATTCCCCTCTGTATGCTGTAATGTTTTATTATTATTATTATTGGTTAATAAAGGAGCTCCTTCGGCCTATGGTAGGGCAGAATAGAGCCAGGCAGGGAAAGCTAAACTGAATGCTGGGAGAAAGAAGATAGAGTCAAAGAAACACCATGTAGCTGCCAAGGGAGAAGGATGCTGGACCATTGGCAGTAGGCCACAGTCTTGTGGAGATACACAGATTAATAGAAATGGGTTGTTTTAATACTAAGAGTTAGCTAGAAATACTCCGGACATCGGCCAAACAGTGTTGTGATTGATATGGTTTCTGTGTGATTATTCAGGTCTGGGTGGCTGGGAATCAAAGCACAGTCTCCATTTACAATGTAGCACTGCTTAGGACTGGTCATTCGCATGCTTACCTTTAAGAACTCTAGCTCTGTCTCCTTCTCGGAGGCTCCTGCATAGGTGTTGTGCAGTTTGGGCAACTCCTCTTTGATGTAGGACACATCAAGCTTCTCCATCACTCGGGCAGGCAAATAGTGCTCCAGCCGAAAGTAGGACACGCCATGGATCTAGGAGGAGGAACGCCATGTGAGCAACTCCATTTGCCTATCTCGGCATGAAGCTTCTTCCTCCTGCCTCTGATTCTTCTACTTCTCCCTGCAGACCGCATCCCTCTCTTCCTCAGTGAGGCAGAACAGCTGCACTGATCGGCAAGTTTGAGGAGACGGTCAAGGATCTTTTTTCATGGCGGCTAAGGGGTAATAATGCAGTAATAAAGGGCGCTGCTAAGGTGGCCATCTCTTGTTTCCTGCTTTCTCTTAGGTCTCTTTCATTTAGGAACAGGAAACTTTGACAGTTTTTCATAGTGACCTCTGCCAGGTTCCCAGCCTGTCACTTTGTGGATCCGTGTGGCAGGCGGAGTCCTCCAGCTCCTGCTTGCTCAACATCTCCTCTACTAAGTCTCTTTCTTATTGCCCAGAACACAGGAGGTGGAGGGCTTATGTGATTACACAGAGTCAACAAATGGGATGGGTGTGTGTGTGCAGTGAGCCAGGGCACTTTGAGGAACCAAACAGCTTCTAGAAAAATCATGACATCAACCATGACTTTGCAAAGGATAAGAGGAAGAAAACAAAAGCTGCAGATGATACCTAGTGGAAATGCTTGTCTAGTATGTTCTGGCTTGGATTCCCAACAACAAAGCAAAACAAAATAAAAGATATAGAGGAAAGGAACAAATCTACCAATACAACCACTCCCACCTCTGGCTGGTAATCTCCGTACTCCGCCTGCAGCGCCAGGGAGGCCAGCAGCAGGGCCGCCTCGTCGTCACAGTGCAGCCTCTCCTCCAGGAGGTCTCTTCGCAGCTGCAGGTAGTACTGATGGCAGGTGAGGCTGTGTCTGTGGGAACACGGTGCACAGACACGCCTTCACTTTTGAGGTTGATTACAGACACAGCTTCCAACCTTTCTAATTAATATTGTCATTAAGATTTTCTAAGGCATTCAAGGAACTACGAGATGGACCCGTGCCTTCTTGTCTTTTTTTGGAGAAGCTTCTTCTTGAAGGAGATGGGGACTACCACAGAGACCCACAGATGGACATCCTGCAGGGAGTGAAGGGCTCTGGAGTACTCAGTCCTAAAGGGATGTTTTCAGCAAACCCTCCCCTCGGGGCTCAGGCAGCTATGTGGAAAGGGGGTGGAAAGATCCTAAGGTGGACGATTCCAAGGAAACAGTGCTGTACATACACAGCAGGACTGGTGTACCCACGAACCCACAGACACTGGAGCATGTACTAGGTCTATACACACACAACAGGACTGGTGTACATATGAACCCACAGACACTGGAGCATGTACTAGGTCTATACACACACAACAGGACTGGTGTACACACAAACCCACAGACACTGGAGCATGTACTAGGTCTATACACACACAGCAGGACTGGTGTACATATGAACCCAAAGACACTGGAGCATGTACGAGACCTGCACAGGTTCAGGTTCAAACCAGGGAGCATCCAAGAGCTGAGAGGGAGGAGTAGACACAGCTTTCCACCACTACCTAAGGAGCTATCTGCAGTTGATACCCGCCTGCACCGGATAAACTGGCTTTTTCTAATGGAGTCTCACTGGGTATAACAAACATACTTCAGAGTAGGCCCTACCCCAGAGTAGATGGCCAACACAAAACCAACTCAATGGTAATGTTGTAGATTTTTGTTCTCATTCTGCTTCATTTGGGTTTTTTTCTTACTGGTCATTTGCTTGTATACTTTGTTTTCTGCTTCCATGGATCTGTGTGTGTGTTTCTTTCTTTTGTTTGCTTCCTTTTTTAAAGAGGGAAAGGGTGAGCTAGGGGAGGGGAAAAATGTGACTGGAATTTATCATTATTGTTCTTTAAAACAAAAAAGCAGAAAAGAAATAAATAATTTAGGGACAATAATGACATCGCCTTTCATTTGTAGGGAATACATTCTATAAGCTGTATGGAGGTTGGAAGCCATGAAGAGTACCAGATCCCAAACACTGTATTTCCCTAAGTGTACATACATACAGGATAAAGCTAACTTACACTTAGATGCAGTAAGAGATTAAGCACAGATGACAGAGAATTTAACAGTAGGTTTTGTTTCCTTATAAAGTCAAGATTACCTGCTCATTTAAAAGCAGCACTGTACAGCTCCCTTGGCCTGCCAGGGCGGCCAGTCCCCACTCCTGAGCCCCTGGGCCTGCC